TTCGCAGGACGCTCCCGAACAGCACGGGGCTGGGCCCGTGACTTGCTCAGCTCACCAGCAGTCGTGCAAGAGCTCCCGGCCCTGAGAGCCGCTCGGGTGAGACCGACCTCGACAACACGCCGCACCGGCGCTCGCCTGCGACCGGGAACTGAGGGAGAGTCTGTCCTATCCGCTGTGCACCACTAGAGGGCGGAGGCGGATCACGGTGCATCTGTGCTGCTCAATGACCCTCTCTGAACCCCGCCTCGCAATTACTGAAGACCGGGAAAGATCCTGATGTCGCAGTTGAATTACATACTGTACGTACTCAGCGAACCGAACCCTTTCAGTCTTGCTCCTCAGGAGCACTGACAATATGTCCGCCCAGCGGACTTCTACGGTTTAACAGTGAGACCCCAATCGGAGGACACGAGCACAAACCACCCGGAAGTGCACTTTAAGCCGAGAACCCAAAGGGCGTGTTTTACACAAAGCGGGGCCGGGGGTGTGGAACAAGCTCCCCAGAACCAGCAGGCAATGAGGAGGCAGTGAGCAGTGTAGGTTGTGAAAGCTGTGGGTTTTATTTATTTGCCTTTCGGGTTTACAGACACAGCGCGCTCTCCCCTCCTCCTCTCTCTCTCTCCCTCTACCTCTCTCTCTGTCTGTGCGAGGCGCTGTGGAAACGCTCGAACCCGTGTCCCCGCGGGCTGGTTCAGCACTCCTTCTTGGCCATCATACCGATGAGCGCCCCGAACTCCACGATGTCGATCTGGTTGTCCTTGTTGTCGTCCAGGCGCTTCACGAGTTTGTCCAGCTTGGTGACGGAGTCCTGCCGCCAGGGGGAGACAGACACGCAGATTCGTTAGGCGCTACGCAGTGCGGGGGGTCGGCTAATCGATGGTGGAGAAATCGATTGCAATGGATAAATGGGTCAGCTGTCTGGCGTGTAATGTGGCAAACGAGGTTGCCCTGCAGGACCTGAGGCTGTCCATTTTTATTAAATGGACAAGGACAGGAGGCGCCTCCTTACACAAAGGGAGGTGGGAGTGTGGAACAAGCTGCCCAGCCGTGGGATTGAAGGTAATACACCGGTCTCATTCTAGAAACAGCCAGATGAGAGCCTGGGATGAGTGAGCTGCCGACAGCCACGACCCGCCTGCTCTCGCTCGGATGAAGAGGTTCTGGTCATCAGAACCGGACTCACCGGTTTGTGGCTGCAGTGGGCCTGCAGGAGCTTCTTGAGCTCGTCCCGGCTGAGGGTCTGCTTCTTATCGTCCTCGCCCGCGTACTTGTAGAAGACGTCGCTGACGATCTTGGCGGCCTGCTCCAGAGACATGGTGGCGATGATGGGGCAGTGGTTTCAGAGAGATCTGTGGGGGGCGAGAGGAGGAGAGAACATGTCAGCTACACATCCACTAATGAGCCAGACTAATTGATGAACCCAGTCTGATCAGAGCGCATAAATAATTACTGCATCAGTCAATTCATTCATTCATTAAAGTCCACCGATTCGTGAACTAGTGTGCTGTGATTAACTTCCTGCTGCAGCCCTGTGTCTGCTGGCAGCTAATTTATCACCCCAGGGGCTGCTGGGAATCAGAGCCCAGCCCATCTCTGGGTGCGGTTCAACAGCGGAGAAGCACCTCTTCTGAATTCAGAATGCGTACAAATCTGGACAAATTCCATTCTCGGTCTCTTTTCCCTGGCCAGGATCCCAGGCTGACATGGACTAATGGGGGCAGATGCTCCCGGACGGGTTTGGACAGGAGGGACAGTAGTCCTACTGATCTTTCCTACCGGTCTCACACATGAGCTCCCGAAGGAATCCAACCACAGCTCCAGCAGATCCGCTGTTCCGGGGAAAACTAAGAGCTAAATAGCTATGCTATTCTTCAAATGGATTAAAGCAGTAAAGCAGAGAACAGCAGTCTAGGTCACAGGGAATTCCCGAAAAAAAATCAATTTAGAAGAGAATTGCATAATAAACTGAAATAAATCTGAATAAATCTGAATAAACACTTTATGTCTTTTTGCAGAAGACTCCATCCCAGTCCTACTGAGCCAGCACTCCTTCAGGGTCAATAAGCATCTTCAGTCACAGGCTAAGGGTAACCCTTATCTGGATTAATAAAGACATTAATTGGCTCAATTAACTAAGCAAGGGCTGCATTGGATGGAGACTGGAGGAGCCTGCAGCTCCACTGGATCAGGGCTGGAGATTTCTCCTCTGTTCAGAAGAGCAGGAACCCAGTCTAGTCTGGGGTCCAGACCTGGACCATTCCAGTGTACTCCAGCCCAGAACGTCTATACTACCAGCTCCTCGGTGATCTGACTGCATTGGTTGTGAGCTAATCAATACTTTAAAAAGCTGATTATTTTGACAGTGTAAATGTAGCTGAAGATCTGAGAATCTGTCTGCCCCTGGTCTTAGTTCACCTATTACTAAAGCTGAGGAAGCCCCACGGTTCAATAACTCAGCTGTACGGCTGGTGTCTCATTAAATGAGATGCAATATCAGAGCTCATCTAGAACATAGGCAAATCTATGGTTTACACTTCATGAAAACAGCAACTAGTAGTGCAATCTAGATTTTCTGCACAGTACATTAAAGATATCAACATATTTTCCAGAGTTAAATAATATTATCAGTTAAAGTTTAAAATCATGATTTTCACAAATGTCCTGTACAGTACCCAGAGTGAGGCAGAGAGAGAAAGAACTACAGTACCCAGAGTGCAGCAGTGAGAGTGACAGAGGTACAGTACCCAGAGTGCAGCAGTGAGAGAGACAGAGGTACAGTACCCAGAGTGAGGCAGTGAGAGAGACAGAACTACTGTACCCAGAGTGCAGCAGTGAGAGAGACAGAGGTACAGTACCCAGAGTGCAGCAGTGAGAGAGACAGAGGTACAGTACTCAGAGGGAGGCAGTGAGCAGGGCTCGGGACCCGGCTGGCGGCACAGGACTAGTGTCCTGCAGGAATCGCGGAGCCGGACTCACCTGTTCAGGTGGAGCTTTCAGCAGGAAGGCACCAGGGTTTGTGCCTCGCTGTGACTGGAGGAGGTTTAAATAGACGTCGTGGCACAGGGACCTCCCTGCTTGGCATGGCCGTGCCTCGCGCCTGGTGGTCGGGAGACACTCCAATGGCAGACAGACTGGCGGGCAGAGACAATAGAGAGCTGAGGAGCAGCTACGCCCAGCTGCCTCTCCCCATTCCAGCTAGAAGCCCTGAGGCAGTCCAGCGCTGGGGCTCGGCTCTTACTGGGCCGACACAGAGAGTCCCAGTCCAGCCCACCTGTGCCCCGTGCTCACCCCAACCTGTCCCTGAATCCCTGCGCATACCTGTGCTCTCCCAGCTCTCCACTGTGGTGGAATTGCACAACTGTCTCATCACGAGCGAGCGGCCCCAGGCACGCTCTGCACAGGAGGGTGGCACCTGGCCTTCTGGAAACTTCCATGACGCACCTGGCCGAGCCCGAGGAGAGAGTGCCAGGCAGAGGGGCGTTTCAGGTCCGAATGCAGAACCCTGGTCCCAGGGAGCCCCCAACCAGCAGGTGGTGTGGGTCACCCCGAAATCATCGGATCCCCAAACACTCCTGAACACTTCGGTTTCGACCACTGAAGCGGTCAGTTTGGTAGTGTGGTCAATGACGTTGTTGAAGGATCATGGGAAAGGACAATCCCAGCTGCGTGGAGCTCTCAGCTCTCAATCAGCTGACGTTTAATCAGACTTCACGTGTTTCCACTCCTAACTGATTTCAGGGAGACCAGTAACACCCGTTGGACTGTGACCCCCCCAGGATCAAGGCTGGGTTACAGTGCTGATTTCAGGGTGCCTTGTGGGACCTGTTATTCTGGGGTCCCCCAGGGATCAGGGCTGGACACCCCTGGGCTACAGATTAATGATTGTGGGACCTGCTGTACTGGGGTCCCCAGGGATCAGGCCTGGACACCCCTGGGCTGCAGGCTGGTGATTACAGGGTGTGCTGTCCTGGTGCCCGTGTTCTCCCCGTCCTGCCTCTGCTCTCCGCGGCTTGGGCTCGGTGCAGGCGCGGGGGCGGCGAGGAATCCTGCTCCAGGCGAGGGCCCGGCCAGATGCTTGACATTGTGGCTAATTTGTTTTGACTCTGTTTGCTCTTCCTCCGTTGTCTGTTGTTCCTCCAAACCTGTTGGACAGGTGTGACGGGTCAGGTCTGCGAGCGAGGGCGGCCTGCAGCTGCCAGCGTGGCACGAAAGCAGGTGGGAGAGGATTATCAACACTGGGGTTCGAGCAGCAGAGGCCCCCATTCATTGTGGAATGGGATCCTATCCAGTACTTCCTTCCTGTCTGTATGGTCTTTGTACCTACTGAGCCCACAGAATCGCCATCAACATCTCTGCATTTCTACAAAAATTCCATCCATCTGTTTTTTAAACATCCAGTACAGGGCTGGAGCCCACTGCAGGTCACACAAACACACAATCGCACCAGGGCCCATTGCAGGTCTCACACACACACAAACACACACTCGCATCAGGGATCATTGCAGGTCACACAAACACACACTCGCACCAGAGCCCATTGCAGGTTACACACACACAAACACACACTCGCACTAGGGCCCATTGCAGGTCACACACACACAAACACACTCGCACCAGGGCCCATTGCAGTTCACACACATA